GCGCAGCCGCCAGAGTTCTATTGGAATGGCATCCATAGTTTGCATAAACGTTGGCGTGAAGTGATAGAGGCCAATGGTGATTACATTCATGATTGAGATGATTTTGCTTTTAAATAAACTGGGTTGTAATAATTGTTCATGAAATTCCGAGAACTTTCTTTCCAATCAGATATATGTAAATAGACTTTTCAGTTTTTATTACTACCTATGGTTCATTTAAATGGACAACCTCGTAGAATAGGGTAGCAAAGTGAGATGTATGCATTTATTTTTAAAATGTATTTTTATATTGGGACATTTAATAACACTCGTTCGACAATGTAAAGGGACTTTGGTCACTAATGTCTTCCGCCATCTACACAAATCTACGCAATTAACCTGAAAAGTAAAGGGACTCATGGGACACCCCGTATTTGGTTTCGGGACTCGTGCGAATCTCTATATTGACCGTCACCAGCCGCACTTATAAAATAAACATAATAAATAAATATTTAAAAAAAATCTTGAGCGGTCGTTGACGTTTGATGCCGAAATTTTCGACTGCATTCCGTCGCATTTCTTTTAATTTCTCAAAAGGTAATTTATCACAGTTTGAAAAATTTACTCTCCATTGTATGAATCATCTCGTGCGGGTAAGGGATGCGACGATGTGGATGCGAATCCCTTTCGCTGAATCGCTTTTGGTGGCGGAGAACGTTCGGTATCGATTGAAATTCTCTCCCTCTATTAGGAGAACGATCAGTATCGATTGAAATTCTCTCCCTCTATTAGGAGAACGATCAGTATCGATTGAAATTCTCTCCCTCTATTAGGAGAACGATCAGTATCGATTGAAATTCTCTCCTTCTATTAGGAGAACGATCGGTATCGATTGAAATTCTCATTACGGATTTCACAGGAGAGGCTATGGTGAAATCCCGACTGCCTAAGCTTCTGGTCCTTCGCAGTGTCTCCTGTGGATTTCCATTCGAAACAAGCTGTCACTCTCTTTTCTTCGTCAATGTCCCGATATTGTTGGGAAGGCTGAAATGCTTGAATTTCTGCTTCTTCTCGTGCCATTTCATTTTCCGTTTCGAGGTAGTTCCTGCATATTTTGAACCTTCGAAAGCAGTAAAAAAAATATTTAAACATCTATTAGCCTCCACATAATTGATTTTATTCTACCTGCATACAAAGTAACAGTTAATGAAATTTAGTTTCTCTTTGAAAAAAAAGGTTACATCACAAGAAACTAAAAACGTTTATAATTTCATGAGGAAATTCATGAGGAAGGTCAATGTCATCAATGATCCTAATTAGCTAAATTGGCCCGTAATGTTGCAAATACTTCAGCCCTTTAATTTTCTCTTGACGACATCGGTAGAGGCCTCATAGCACTCGATTTAAAAGAAAGTCAGCGAATCTATTATGCATGGGTTTGAAGGGTACCATCATACATGCCTTCGAAGGGCACAAACATGGTCCAAGAGAATTCCCGAGGTTTCCATTAGGAGGGGAGCCGGTCGGATTCGTTCGCTTATGAATCAGACAAAGCGGTCTATTAACATACGATTTCAATTCTTGCACCGAATATGTCGGAATTTATGATTCCCCGAAAGATGCCCGGCGAGATGAAAAAACCCAAAAATTAATACCCATCTAGGGGCATGAACTGATTTCAGGTTTCATGTAATTCGCAAGTGCCGAGAACACCAACAACAAATATCATAATTTTTGCATACGTGCGTGTCCAAGTCTCCAATGGCGCTTGAAGTCCGCGGGAGTGATTCATTCCCTGAGGGTTCCTCTCCCGCGATGCTCAGCGGACACGACAACGTCGCCTTCCAACCCGAGGTTAGTCAATTAAGCTCATTTTCTGGAGCGTTTCTGCGCTGGATTAAGGGTCGAAAGCGGCTGTGCAAGAATGGGATAGGTGAAAAAAAATACTAACTTACTCTTAGAAAGGGCCAGTCGAAGTGGAGATGGAGACTGGCCGAGGGCGTACTTCCAGAGCTATCTTGCCACCTTCTCCTGAAATTATATTTTCTTTCCAAAACGTGGATGTTTGGAGCCTGCCAAAAAAACCCTCCAGAACCGAACTTCCCAGTCTCTGTAGGAAGACCAACGATGAACAGGCGAAGCATATTCTCAAAAATGGTATTTTTTAATCATTTCCCTATTCAATTTGTTATTCATTAAGGCTTGACTTTGACATATTGTTCCAACGACGAATCTCATACATAAATAGTGAATGGGATCGCTTGTCCGGGTGAATTGTTGGCTATCATGGGAGCGAGTGGTGCCGGGAAAACGACATTGCTGAACGTGATGACGTCCAGGAACTTGGGGAAGCTGAACGTCTCGGGAAAACTCATGGTGAATGGGAAGACCATCAAGAGGAGCGCGCTGGCGGGCATGTCCGCCTACGTCCAACAGGAAGATCTCTTCATCGGCACCCTCACAGTCAGGGAACACCTCCGATTCCAGGCACGAAAAGCGGAAGTCTCCGAAAGGGATCCTTCGAGTTTTCTTCGGCATCTTCATTAATTTGCGCTCTTTACGGCAGGCCCTGCTGAGAATGGACAAAGAAATCACCCTTCAGCAGCGAATTGATCGCGTGGAAGAAGTCATCTTGGATGTGAAATTTGGATACATTTCGTTATTTGACACGTTTGGTGCAGATAGCTAAATATTTTTATTTTTTTTTTACTACAGTTGGGATTGAGTAAATGTTCGGACACGATCATCGGCGTTCCCGGTCGGATTCGAGGTATCTCAGGTGGAGAGAGGAAACGTCTCTCCATCGCCTCTGAGGTTTTCATTTATTAATCTCACACTCACTCCCTTTATACTGTATATTTAAACATTTATGTACGAAAATGTTGCTCAAAGGTACTGACGGACCCACCGTTGCTCTTCTGCGACGAGCCGACCTCAGGCCTGGACTCATTCATGGCCCAGCAAGTTGTGGCCTTGATGAAATCCCTAGCCGTTAAGGGGAAGACCGTCATCTCGACCATCCATCAGCCCTCATCCGAAGTCTATAGCTTGTTCGACCGGATTCTTTTCATGGCCGAAGGGAGAATTGCGTTCATGGGAAAAGCTGATTTCGCCATTTCCTTCTTTCAGGGGTATGCATTCATGAGAAACTCCTAAGATTATTAGAGAGATCAAGAGTTGCGGTGGGTATCGAATTCCACCTCATATCACCCAATCTAATAAAGGTACCATCTCAAAATTTGATTAATTTTGGTGTTTTTTTTTTAAGGGAAAGTGAATGGTTTTGCCAATGTTTTGTCATTCTCTGACCTTTTGTTCAATAATTATGCGCATACGAAATTTCAGAGGCGGGGATCCATTCGTGGGAATATGGACATACACTCTGATATTATGGTTCGATTTCAAATAAAAAATAAGTCTCCATTTAGAAGGGAAAACTTTGGGGATCCCGAATACATCACCGCCGAAATTGAAAAATACTTGAACATGTTTGCAGGTCTGATCCAATTTCCGATTTCATAACGACATTGTGGAAACGAAGCCAAACTGATGGAAATTTCGTAGTCGAATAACATATATATTTTAGCTACTTTAAGGCAAACTTTCGTAGCTATATATTTTTGTTAACCTACAAGTAATTTTCAATCTGTGCATGTCATGCTCATACGAGCCCCTGGAAATACTGAATGTGAGGAAATATTTATTTTAATGCTTCACTTATTCTTGCTTTGGTTCATGGTTTATTTTTGGTAATGGGAAACGCTAATTTTGAATACCCATGCGAAAAATTCATAGGGGAATCCAATGGGAATTCTATTGGAATCCTACAGGAGATGTAGGAGTAAAAACTCATTCCAATCCCATTCCAATGGGAATTGTGAAGGAATGGAATTGCTATTCACTTGTCCAGCCAGCTTGAATCATGAGCAAGATTTCCTTTGAAGGTCAAGAAATAAAAATGTTGACGTGCTGTGATCCGCCACATAATCTCTCTCCCTCTCTCCTTCTCTCTCTCCCTCTCTCTCTCTCTCTCTCCTTCTCTCTTGGGAGTCTCGGAGGAAATTTTACTCATGAAAATGATCAGGCTGGAAAATCGTCAACTTCTCTCCTCCCGCGAGAGGTTCAATCTCCGCGTCTTCTTACTTGTTTAACTTTTTGAATGAATGGTCAAAGGGTGTTTCTCACCATAGCGAATGAATCAGCTTGGCTTCAGTAAAGTAAAATCGCTAGTATTCGATATCTTTAATGCCTAGGGTGGGTTACGAATGTCCGCCTAACTATAACCCGGGAGACTTCTTCATCAAAACACTCGCTGTCGTCCCGGGAGAGGAGGATGAATGTCGACGACGGGTGGCCCGGATCTGCGACGCGTTCAGAGACTCAGAAGAAGGGAGGGCGATGGAGAAGGAAGTGGAGCTGCAACGGGTCGATGGAACCTGGAATGACCCGGGAGAGTTCAAGAGGAATGTGAGGTCCAAGGGATCCTGGTTCGCCCAGTTTCGCACCATCCTCGCTCGTTCCTGGACTGCCAACCTTCGAGAGCCCTTGCACATCAAACTTCGGATCTTACAGACAGTGGTCAGTACCTTTCAAGCGCTTCCTCGTCTCGAGCAAATCTGGATCCTTTCGCGTGTCCCTTTTTTTTTTACATAAAACCTTTCAGGTGTGAATTTTGGATTTCTTTGAAACAAATTTTCTTTGACAACTGGAAGAAACTCAATTTTTTTTTATGCAATGAAGAGTGCTCGAAAGTTGCTTTTCTTACACTGAATTTTTCCACTCGGATCGGTATATCTTTCCTCTTTCCCATTCCCGCACACTATATTCACGACCAGGCTTCATATTTTCCATAATGGTAATCTGGCATGTCACAAGAGCACTCTTAGGTCTTCATTCTTGCAGTTTGCTAGCATTCGTGAGGCTCCATGTTCGATACCAGTATCAGTGACATCGGTGTGAGGCGATTTGTTTGAATGTATGAGCATTGAACGTTTTCGGAAAGTATAATTGGAGATCATGTTCGCATGCAAATCATGATACGCATCTCTTGAGAAACCCCACAGAGTACGGAGAAAAGCACTCCGAAAGTGAATTGGTAACGGTTTTGGCTAGATTTAAAGCGGAAAATCGGGAATTGCATTAAGACGTGTTATCTCACGCCAGGCAGTGGCCGTGATGCTGGGGATTTTATACCTGAGGCAAGATCTCACGGCCGAAGGGGTCATGAACATCAACGGCGCGCTCTTCCTCTTCCTTATGATTTCCACCTACCAGAATTTCTTGCCTGTGATCTACGTGAGTTTGGGGTGATCTCAATGCATTTTCCCCCCTTCTCCCGCTCTTTAAGCGAGGTGTCCCTACGTGCAGGTGTTTTGCGAAGACCTGCCTATCTTCCTACGGGAGCAGCGGAGTGGACTGTACCGAGCAGACGCCTATTACCTTGGGAAGACGACGGCCGAGCTGCCGTTCTTCGTCGTCTTCCCGGCCGCGTTCACGGCGATCGCGTATTATTTGATCGGGCTCGACCCGGAGCGGTTCCTCGTCTGCTTGCTCGTCATGGTGGCAGTCGCGAATGTGTGCTGCTCCTTCGGTACCGAGAGGAAGTACTTTCCGCTGAGGACTTGCTATTTCGAATGCGTTTTCAAATTGCGTTTTTTCCTCGTAGGTTACATGATGTCGTGCATCGCCTCTTCCGTGGAAATGGTTTTGGCCTTGGCTCCGTCCATCATGATGCCGATCATGATGCTCAGCGGCTTTTTCCTCAACAATGAGTGCGTTTCCTTTTTCTTTGAAGCCTCATAATTGTAGCAGAAATTGAAATGTCTCTTCCTGTGGTTTTCCACTTGCCAATCGGAAAGGTATTCCAATCTCTTTACTTGCATCGAAGTTGAGTTTCCCCGGGTTCTTAAGCTCAAATTTGAAGTTTGTCAAAAGTCCCGAGAAAAAAAGTTATTCCACGAATCCCAGAATCGGATAATTCCACAACTTTTTTTCCCACTGACAGCTCGGTCCCCTCGTACTTAATATGGGTGAAGTACATCTCGTGGTTCTACTACGGGAACGAGATCCTCATGATCAACCAATGGAAAGGCGTGGAAAAGATCGAGTGCGGGGAATCCTTCGCGTGTCCTCGAAATGGAGACGAAGTCATTGCCTCCCTTAACTTCGACAAGGTGCATTTAATTGTTTAACTCCATTTCTGTGAACCTCAATTGAACTTCTATGTGCGTTAATTTTTTTATTATGAACCTCAGTAAATTTTCTATGAACCTTAATTAAATTTCTATCTGCCTTAATATTTTTTATATAAACATCACCAAAATTTGCATAATCCTCACCTCCACGAAACCTTCTGAATGCCGTGTAGGATAATGAACTGCGGGACTGGCTGATGCTGTTGGTCCTGATGATGGCGTTTCGGATCATCGGCGTTCTGGTCCTCCACATCAGGGCCTCTCGACGGAAGTGAGATCAAAAGGCCACTTTTCGCAAAATCCGTTAAAGAATTGCAGAGGAGTCTCTGGAGAGCGTGATGGCGAATGTCGCGTTCCTCGCCTGCTTTGGGTTTTTTTTTTGTCGAGGTCTTCCGAGGACGGGCGGGACGAGTGCATATTCATATTCGATTGTGTCTCCAGTTGTGTGCATTGCTTCGAAGAAATCCTTCCGAAATGATGTGTTACACATGCATTCTTCAACCGAATAAGATAAAAACAAAATTTCACGGAAATTACCTGCCAATATAATCCTATCGGAAAGCTCCTTTTTGGGCTCGATGAAAGTTGAAGAGGGGACTTTTTAGTAGTCATTTGTTAATTTTAACATAACCAACACAGTACCGCTGAATTTTCTTCTTTTTTTTTATGAGAATTTTGGCCCAGTTTCTCCTAGGAACTCCATTGATTCGGCTACCTATTCTTCCATTTGCTGGTGATCTTCGAAAATGATCTTTGAAAATGATCTTTGGAAATTATCAAAATCTTTTATTCACTTGGTCAGAAGATATGGAGAAATATTGGGTTGTAACATATATTCCCGCCGTTTTTATATTTTGTTTGTTTTCACTCCATATTTTTGAAGTTTGGCAAAGTGGATATAGTCATTCGAAAGAGCGTTCTTTCCTCTACCGTACAAACTTATTGCCACCATTTTTCTGAATAACTTAATTTTACTTAACTTTCAGGTATTTGAAATGGAAATACCAGGCGGCAAGAAAACCCATTTTCGACACTTGCTTTATTTCGCGTTTCGCCGTAATCAAAAAGCAGCCGAAGCAGCTCGGGATATTTGTGCCGTTTACGGAGAGGGTGCTATAGCTGCGAGGACTGCTCGAGATTGGTTTGCCAAGTTCAAAAATGGCAACTTCGACCTGGACGACACGCCTCGCTCTGGGCGACCTACCGAGTTCGACGAAGACCATTTGAAGGTGCTTTTGAAGGAGGACGGTCGCCAAACATGCAGAGAATTGGCCGAGAAGATGAACAGCAATGCAATGACGATATCCCGTCACCTTCAATCAATTGGTTTTACTCAAAAACTTGGAGCTTGGGTGCCACACGAGCTTACCGGAAACAACAAAGAAAATCGCCTTCAAATTGCTGCTCAACATCTCGCCCGACACCGAGCAACACGCGGCCACAAGAAACGTCGAACTCGGTAGGTCGCCCAGAGCGAGGCGTGTCGTCCAGGTCGAAGTTGCCATTTTTGAACTTGGCAAACCAATCTCGAGCAGTCCTCGCAGCTATAGCACCCTCTCCGTAAACGGCACAAATATCCCGAGCTGCTTTGGCTGCTTTTTGATTACGGCGAAACGCGAAATAAAGCAAGTGTCGAAAATGGGTTTTCTTGCCGCCTGGTATTTCCATTTCAAATACCTGAAAGTTAAGTCAAATTAAGTTATTCGGAAAAATGGTGGCAATAAGTTTGTAGAGGAAAGAACGCTCTTTCGAATGACTATATCCACTTTGCCAAACTTAAAAAATATGGAGTGAAAACAAGCAAAATATAAAAACAGCGGGAATATATGTTACAACCCAATAACTCATTTTCATCACTTCCTACTAGTTCTGTAGGTAGACAAATTGCTGAATTGGACTCACCCATTGATCAGTTGATGAGCTTGTTGAGTTGATGAGCCACTTTGAGTGCTGGGCTCTGTGTTATTAACAGTTAATACATTACGACTTCCCCAGACTGAAAATGTTGACTCTTTGAGTGCAGCAGCTTTGGCAGCAGCTCTCCATTGTGTATGTAAAATGATTGTTGACCAAAATGGTAATTGTTGACTTGGCTATCACTTGATACCTCATTTGCTGCAATTGCCAATCTACAAAATAAGAAAATATTCTAAAATCATGATTTACTCCATTGACATGTGGGGCACATCAGCTGAACTAGAATTTAGAAGCTCCACTTATTTGTAGTGACAACTTGAAATTTTTTTGCTATAATCACTTTGTTGTGCTGCTATGAGATACATGGTATGATAATGTTAATACCTGAAAAATAGAATTTAATTATTTTCATCCCATGTGATTTAGAGAGAAAGGAAAGTTTTTTAATCTGCTACTTACGTACACAACCTAGGTTATCACCTCTTGCTGAGTATATTTGCTCATGCATTGTAACATTAGTGCCAAGAGACCCAGAGTGAAATCTTACCAAGTTTCACACAAATAATCCATTTATTTGGACTTGCATTTTCCAAATCAGCTGAAGTTATCCATAATCCTATTTACTTCATGAGTTTAGGTGAAAGAGGACAGAAGTATGGACAGGCTGACATAGATGAATGCTTGTACTAAAATTGAGTACATTTTCAAGTCCTGAGGTGTGAAGTTTTAAATTCTAGAACTGAGCATCTTCCTTCCCACATGTTTCATTCCAAATGTAATCACAAATGCATTCAAGCGCCTAGTTGCAGGCATGGGTTTGTGCAGAATCCTCCTTTTTTTTGCTACATTTCTTATTGAAGGGAAGGAAAAGTGGGAATTTTATCCACCATGTAAGAAATCTGTAAGCCTTCCATTGTTGGCTGAACCCCACATACAGGCAGCAAAATATTTTTATGTTGTGTTTAAATATGAACACCCCATATAGGGAGCCTTGAAACCCTTGGCAGATATTCTCAAACCTCCTTTTGTTTGCCATCCTTTTCTCATGCAATGCATGAGAAAAGGATGGCAAACAAAAGGAGGTTTGAGAGGCATGGTTGTGCCAAAGATGTTGCTGGTGAATTGTCTTCCATTAAGGTCTAATATGACATTGGCTACTGTTATCTATTGATATTGTAAACTTCAACTATCACTAGTTAGTATTAACCTAACATTGGGAATAGACTTGTGAATATGATGCCAATGTCAGTAACCAGGTCTTCTAGGTTTCAGGTTTTGATCCTTTTCTACAATGGCTGAGAAAACACCTATGATAAGTTCCATTGCTCGCCCAAAGACTGAGCGACGTGCTCCAAAGCAAGTCAGCTCTCGGTATTTGAGTGCTACAACTGGAAAGAAAGAGAAATCATCCTCTGCTACTGCTCGGTGAGGCCCTCTTAGGCTTAAGAATCTCAACAGAGGGAGCTAAAATGCCATGATGATGCAACTGATCATCTCAATCTCTTTAACTTGCTGTCATGACTGGTGTCTCCTTTCATTTACTATGCTTAGTGGAGCTGGTACAGGCCAGACCACCTGTGATATTTCTTCAAGTGCCGCAAGCTTCTCATTGTTGATTCCATTTAAAATAAATGAAAATCAGTTTTGTGTGATATATCTAATAGAGTATTTATTATTAATATTTAAAAAAGTGAGGTTCACCGTCTCAACTTTCCACTGAATTTTAGTTAACCTACCTTTTTTTTTGTTTATATACCCATGAAATACCATTCAATTTAAGGCCTTGTGTGCCATCTTTTGGCAATATCTTTGGACTACTTGCAACTGTATTCAATCAAACAGAACTCTGCACAAGCCCATCTTATCAATGATTAGGTAGGCCAAGAGACAGTAAAGCTAGGCTGTCAATTCAACAGCTGGGTAGGCAGATGGGTTAACAGCATCACTGGTAGATCTACCTCATACCTTTTGTTTCTTTATGGAAAACCAGGAGGAGAATTAGGATTGCGCTTTATTCATATTCAGCCCTTTATATATGACATTTCTAATTCATGGCTTCAGGGGAGTATGGTACCCATATTTTCCATCAATTGAGACTGACATATATGCATCCATATATTCTACTTATTGATTGGTTAAGAATGCTCCTAAATTTTCACCCATTATCCTTCATATTCTTTGGGATTAACAGATGCATTCCTCTTATTTACAGCATGGTACAAAGGGTACCCAGTCCTGATCAGGAGAGAATTCACAGTTTATTTGATCTCTCAACCTCCATGATAAGTGGTGATACTACTCTCAATGACCTACCTACAGTTACACCAGCCAGATCCTCATCACCAATCTCAAAGCGAAGTAAGTAGTTCAGAGTTAGATTCCATGTTGTAAGGCCTGTAAAAGAGCTTTTGCATCAAGAAAATGAGATACCCAGTGTAATAATAATTGTGATTTAGTAATTATCCAACTGAGTGATGAATGCCTTTTTGTGTCACTTCCATTATCTTGTGACTGTGTATACCTACCTGCCTAGAGTGTTTCTGGAATGTTTTTAACCCCTGTTAACATGGGCTTCATACTTTACAATGGACCCTGTTGGTGGTCCAGCAAAATAGTACTTTTAACACTTACAACAGGTGTCACTTCAATCAAATAGAGGCACAGTCAAGTCATTATTTGCTTATAAGAGGATGAACTGAGAAACTTTTTTGTTCAGGTGAAGTCAAGAAGGAGCAGAGAAAGCCACTGAAGCAAAAGGTGCCTCATGCATTGGAGCAAGAATGGAAACATGCCTGTGATTATAATGATTATCTCATTAGTGTGTATATGTCCAGAAAATTGCAAGCAGAAAGTGTGAAAATCAAGGAAGCCAAAATGGTGAGAACAGTTACAGATCCTCCTGCTCTGTGATTATCATTTTCTTTCCACTCATTAAATCCAAGTAAGCTGGGGCCCTGAGATGACATGCTTAATATGACTAGTACTTGTAATATGGAGCCCTAAAAAATTTTCTTAGCAGTCTTGAAAACTCTGGTTTGTATCATGCCTCTGCTTCTGCAAAATAGTTTTGAACTCCTTGAGCTGTTTAGTAGCATGCAATTTTTTAAATTATGAATGGGAGGGTGAAAATGCCTCTGCAGTAGTGTTCACATTCCTAGGTGTTGATGAGTGAACAAATTTGCTTCTATCCATAGAATAGCTTCCTTATCACACTTTCTTCTTTCCAGGCAGAACTCAAGAGCCTAAGTGAAATGGTGCAGAAGCAACAAGCTGAATGCTTGGAGATAGAGAAGTGGTTGATGAAGGCTGAGACACTAGAGCAAATTTTGATAAATGAGGAGAAGGTGAATGCCATGAAGCCCCTTAGAGAGGAACTGAAAAAGAATCAAGATCTGATTGCCAAAGTGGATGCAATAGCTGAAGCTGCTTTGGGTTCTGTGACTTGCAAAAATTTCCCATTACCCCCTGTGAATGAATTGCAAATGGCTCTAGATGAATTTTCACAAGAATTAGCTCATTTCACTGACAACCGTCCAAGTTTGGGAGGTGTTGGGCCTGCTGCTTCTCAGGTTGAAGCTTCACTCAGAGAGTTGATGGAAATTAAGAGGGCCAACCAATTGCTGCTCACAAGACAAAAGGACTTCCAGAAGGAAGCTGAGAAACAGATGGCCTTAATGGCTCAGATTTTCATCTTTAAGGAGGAGTTGGAGAAATTCGCCTAGTGTTTACCTTATGGTATGATGGTTGTTGAAATGCCATGGATCTCATCTCCTTTTGTATCACTGTTGCCTTTCAATATCATTTTTTCTCAACTCCTTGATGTCTCTTGTTTTTCTTATACTTTGAAATCTCCCAGTTACTTCAAGTACAGATGCAAACTTTTTGAAGTAAATATTGGAACTCATGCTGACTAAGGAAGTTCATTGTTTGCAATTTTACTTGTTATGAAACTTCAACTTTTTATTTGGCTTGATAAATGGGAGCAGCAATGATGGGCCAATCCCAAATCAAGATTCAATTCATCCTTTTACTAATCCCATGTTATGAATATTTGGGATTCTTGGGGATTGGTTCAAATTTTTGGTGTGTGTCTCATATTCGAATGAAATTTTGGTTTAGTATTTATGTTGCAGGTCTTAAAAGCTTCTACTCAAGTTCAGGATTTGTCTATTCTTTTGCACAGCCATAAAGCTTGGTTTTTTGTTTCATTACTAGTGAACAATGGGAGGTTTTTTTTAAATGTCTTAATCAGTGAATGATCTGTGGATTCCAATTGACAATTGCAGTGTCCTTGATGAAATTCCCAAAGATAGATGTGATTAAGATATGACTTCAAGATTCCAATGACATGTTCAGGAGTACATCCACCTCTGCATAAAAGCACTCTGCTTCATTCAGTTTTTCTTGAAATGCTAATTTTCATGGGATAGAATTTTCAGACATCTCTCCCCTTCTTACTTTTCTGGTCTTTGTTTCCAAATTTCCATATAGAGCCCTTTTTTCAACCAAACAGTGGCCCAGATGAAAAGTTTTCATAAAGGTTTGGGTGAGCACTACATCAATGAGAAGCTGTCCCTTCAACATACCTCAAAAGAACCCTTCCTCCTGCAGTAATATCAACATTTTGACCATGGCACAACGGATAAAGTTATATCCTTCATGCTGACAGTTATTTATTTACAGCATTGTTGTTTGCAGGAAATAAATTCTGCCCCAAAAATGGGACACTAGCAGAAAGTGAGCGGCTAGGTTAGTCCTTGCTACTCATTGACATTCCTTCTGTTGCGAGCGTGTCCCTTTTTCATATTCCGTGTCTGACATGTATTCATTCATAAGGGACACTAGAATGAAGCCTGCAGAGATATTTTTCTTTCAAGAAACACAACCCTGAAGAAGGGACATACGCTATCACCACTTTTTTTTATCGCTCTATTGGTTAAGTACATTCACCGATGAATCGATATCGATAAGATGCCATGCTTCTTTCAAAATGGAAGTTTTAATGAAAATGTAGAAAGCCTTTGGATTCCCAGATGATTTATTTCCTCCAGGAAACACTGATACATACATATTGTATACATATCGAGGCAACCGGAGTTGTCGACGGTTTGCATGGTTTCTTCCATCACCTCCGCCCTGCAGCTGTTGTACCCGTCGCACCTGAGATTCAATCAGGGAAGAACCGTATCGTCAGCTGCATATAATTCTATGAACGATTCATAAGACGTGGATTATAAATTATGCTGACCCCCGAAGTTTCCTCCATAGCTTCCTCCCCAGGGGTTGCTTCCTCCGAAAGATCCTCCGTATCCACCACCAGTCGACCCACCTCCTAGTCCCCCTAGCCCATTCCCAGCTCCACCAGCTGTTGCTCCGAACCCGCCTCCGAAGTTCCCTCCGTAACTTCCTCCCCAGGGTGTGCTTCCTCCGAAAGATCCTCCGTATCCACCACCAGTCGACCCGCCGGACGGTCCTCCTCCCCCAGCCCCATTCCCAGCTCCTCCGCCTGTTGCTCCGAATCCGCCTCCGAAGTTCCCTCCGTAAGTTCCTCCAAAAGGATTGCTTCCACCGAAAGATGCTCCGTATCCACCACCAGTTGATCCCCCTCCTATCCCCATCGAAGGAAAGATATAATATTGGCGCTTCCACCGTGAATCCAATGTCTGTACCGTGATTTCCTCTGTATTATTAGTTTATCGGCTAGCGGCTGACGGTCTGGACATTGACTCATCAAATCGGTGGGTTGGGTAATTCAATGCTTCGGTCAACTTCGAGGTTGGAGTAAAATCGGTGTAAGTACAGCTCACTGTGAGCATCGACTAAGTCAACGGCATGTAATTTGACGTTCGTGGAGTTTAAATGCCAAATCTTTTGAGAACTAGCATGGTCTGAAGTGCCACCCCCTAGAATCTCTCTATTTCTCTATTAAAATTTGCTTTTAAGAGGCTGGTACCTGCAGATTAAAACTGCACCATCAATGATGAAGCGATGTAATCGTAAGAAATGCATCTTCAGAAGCAATGAACCTTGGTTTTGCAATTCTTACTCTCCTACACTTGAAGAGGTAAAGCTTATGATTGAGCAAGGTATTGTTCTGATGTTAGTCGGAAGATTTTCATAGGTGATGGGATCCATGAATATATAAAATTGTATAACCCTAGGTCCCTCTCCTTATGGTGATCTGGGAAGCTTGACGTTTCGGGCAGTAATTAAGCATAGTAGTTCGTTAAAGTCCTGACCAGTGGCGTAACTAGCTTTTCGCGAATGGGAGAGGCTAGAATTTTCCCAGCCTCCCCTCTATCATAGAAATTATTTTTGGAACTCGTGGGATCGTATTCGATCCATCCTGCATAGACGGACAGGGCTTAGGATTTCACATAGAGAAAAAGAAAGGAGCGAAAAAGAGTCGAACATTACCGATTCCAGGCAGACCCGCGAGTTTCGCTTGGAGTAGTTTTCCGACCGGGAATCCCTCCAATCCGGCGATCACACCGCACAGCAACACGACGACCTGTTTCATTCACAGGAGTACATTTTCCATCGGTTGCATCGTGCCCGGTCGTGTGGGCTACATTTTGGTGCATTTCATGTTTCTATCGTTAGAGTGTCGGTTTATTTAGCTTTTTTTAAATCCGGAGTAACGAACGCTCGAATAATGAAATCTGGTGAATACAAGTGGTACACAATTGAAATCCTGATGGTTTTCATGGCTTCAAGTGCTCCTTTCACGAAACGAAATCCAAATGCACCATGCCAAAAGAATGGTGCATTTGGATTTCGATTTGGTGTCGCCGCCTGCACTTTCATGAAGATGGAGTTCGCAGTGGAACTAACAGCACGTTCTTTCAAAGCTGTGTCTGCTCGTACGACATCGTATTTTTTGTCCCTGTGTCCTATTTTCTTGGTGAATTCAACTGGAGACATGTAACGTCGGTTGGAATTATTTTATTTATAATAAACACCAACTTAACCTGGCCTAACTTAAGGGTAAACACAATATTTATAGGCAGTACGCGCTGAACTGTAACCAGTGGCATAGCCAGGTTTTCGTCAATGGGGGGGCTAAGCGGAACGTTGGGGGGAGCTCACTTCGCCTCGTCGGGGTGGGGCAGACGCATTTCGACCAGAGTTGGGGGGGCTGAAGCCACCCCAGCCCCCCCTCGCTTACGCCACTGACTGTAACCAGCCGTACGAATAAAAATCGCATTACGAGGCTCAGTACGGTGCCGTACGAGCAGACTCTACCTTCTTCCAAAGCGTCTTTCCTTCCTGTTTCGCTCAGTTTTACCTCTTCGTGCGATCCAATCCGTTTCTAAACCAGAAAGAAAACGCATTCCTTAAATTACCGAAGGAGAAAACAGCCGAGAGCGAATCGTTCGCTCTCCACGGGAAACGTGTGGACATGGAGTTCGGCCAGGCCTAAGCAAGTCGATTCTTCCGCATTTTTCACTCATGTCACACTGCTTTTTTACTTGACTGCGACACGCATGCATGAGCAACGTCCCGTGCACGAGTGTCCGAGGCAAGTACAAAGATTGACTCGAGTGATAAACACGAAGGGGTTCATTATGACTTCATTCTCTGATTGCCACGTCTTCGTGAGTTTCGCGTCTTTCAGAATCTTTGCCATAAAGTCAGGTTTGACTCCTAAAGTCTTATGTCTAGGTCCGTAAGGTGTTTTTGTGTGTGTGTTTTAAGACTAGAGAGGACGACAAGAATCCATCGATATCATACCCCATCTTTTCGTTTTCTCAACCGAATAAAAAATTATTGAGCCGGGAAACACTTCAGACGCAGGCCGAGATCCACTATGGGCCTCTTCACAATAGAGATCGGCACGGTCTCCAGAATAGTGGACATTTTTGTAAATGACATATTAGGAGAATTTTGATTTTTGCAATATTCCTACAGAGCCTGACCTGGTAGCGAGCAGGTCTAGTTGTGGCGGAGAGGAAGGGGAGGGGGGGACCTCTTAGCGCCGTACTGACCACTTCTGCAGAGGGCTTATGATCATTTGTGCAGTTCTGATTTTTTTTCTTAAAATATACCCCGTCCCATATTATGAACTCAACCTATCTTTTCCCATTTTTGACGTGGAACTCGTGCAAAGTAAATTGTAATAGGAAGAAGAGAAAAGGGAGATGTAGGAGCCGTCACAAAAAATGGGGATTGGGGCGAAGGAGAGCTTTTCGCCCACAGGCGAAAAACACGACTTTTTTCTTACGGAATGCAACTATGAATCGACCGCACCGACTTAGCCCTCTAAAGAGAACATTGGAGCATTCGCCGTTACTGGAAGAGAGAAAGGAAGAAAACGATGAAGAACGTACTCGGAGGAGCCTCATGGTTCCGCAACGAGACGAGGGAGTAGGCGAAGTCGGGATCGGAATGGCCCAGGTTTCCGGTGGATTTCCCCTTCTCTTTGGGGCAGCGGAGATACTTTATCCAAGGTGAAGACCTTTCGGTCTTCGACCGGTTTCCGGCGCGTCCGCGATAAGGGCTTTTCCTCTTCGGACCCCATTCCCGTTTCCTTTCCTTTTCGGCACTCGACGGGAAGCGCCTCCCGGTTCCTTTACCCCCACGAGGCAACTTGTTTATAAAATGTCCTGCTTCATCGGCGGCATTTTCCGGACTGTTGTCGGTCGCGCTACGCAGGATTCTACTTAAATTATTGCAGTTTCGTTCAATATGCTGGTCCTTCTCACCACCGCAGAGGCGAACGAGATCCTGGGAAAACGAAGAGTTGAATGTCATCACTCGTATCTGTGTCCGATTCACCCTTCCCACCTCCCCCCCTCCCCCATCCCTTCCATTTCTTCTCCCCTTTCCTCCTCCTTCTCCCCATTCCCCTCTTCTCTCTTGCCCCCCCACCCTCGTCCCCGTATCTCTTGGTACACATACGTACGTAACACTGGATTTCATTTGGTTAAGCTGACATCACATTCAATTTACTTCATCGCATAATTTTTGGTACCTCTCTCAAGCAATGGCGTGGGAAGCGAAAATCATCCTTCACTACTTCAAATGAATTTGAAGTAGTGAATGATGATTTTCCATTGCCTCATCGGCAGTGATAAGTCCGTCCCATCCGCTATCCACATTTTAGTATATGCATTCCCTATCATCACTGATCCTCCAGAAATGAGAGACATGACGCTAGTCGTGCATCAGCATCTGCCGTATATGCACAAGTGCCATCTCTGTTTAATTTTTAGGTGAACATGTAGGAGTGGGAGTTCGCGGAGAGAAAATTTTTTATCTGTACCTATGTACTGTATTTACAGAGTCTTGGGGTTTTGAGTTGTATTAGGGTATAGATTCTCCTTCCTGAGTTGCATGACAAAAGGTGTCTACCCTTGCTAAGATGCAAAAGCACTAACACAAAAGCAGGGTTACTTCTTTCTAACACGTGTCCAGGTGATACAAAGAATTGCCAGGAAAGAATAGTGCAGCCAATACGAAGGCGATCATTCTTTCTGCGTGAAAAAAAAATAACGAGGCAAGCTCATTGTGGATGCCGCAGCAGATGGTTTGGTTTGCCCTTGCTTCCATTTTCAACGCTCAGTTAGAGGGCACGAGGAAAGCATAAACTTTCTCCAGACTCTAAATTCGTAAGATAAAAAAAAAATATTAAAAAACAAGTGATGGGCCTGGGAAGGGCCTTTACTCAGTGATGGGCCACGAGGACGGAAAAATTCAGGGACTAAGCCTGTGTATCCTAATCACCCCTGAAGAGACGTACATGTACCAGGTATATGCTTTCTTGCTATTATAGCTCGTGTGTCACTACAACGGTATCCGCACTCTGGAAGTTTAGCTGTTGGAATTTTTATGCTCATCATTGAGTATATTGCCCTATATCGCCGCTCCTTCTTCAGCCACGTTCCTGTCACATGCACTGGTCCATAGGCTGACCGGGTCCCCAATGCATATCTGGAAATTTAATCCAAATTCATTCTCGTTAAAGCAAGGCTACGAGGGCTTGAAGTCGGAAATAGAAAATGGACGAGAGCAGTTGCTGGGAGTCCCGTCGCAGGATATGCCATCCCACCGTCCCTGTATGCCGTGCCGGCCTCAGTGGAGGTCACACGTGTTGGCTGCATTTAGCATTTCTTCATCGGCTCTGTTTTGGCTGGCTTTTGTTTAATGTGTTTCTTCGATTATTGTTTTATTGTGGAATATGTGTCGATGAAAGAAAATTTGCTTTCGATTGGTTCGGAGTTCTGCATCGATTACCTGTATAATACAGTACTTCGGAGTAAAGTCACTGTCATGGGAGAATGTTCATTTTCAATCCCGATTTATTTAAAATTATTTTTCGTGGCCCTGTTCACCATGGCAGGCCCGCCCAGAGCGGGGGTGTGGGGACAATCTGCCCGGGCCTCGCGTATCAAGGGGCCCTCCGGTTTAGTTTTGCCTGAGCCTCTGGAAATCTCTGCACCAGGGCGAATTTTAAATGAAGTATTGAATGTCTGCAGGCAACGAGTAAAGACCGTCTCATACTTTGCGTCTCTTGCGTGTGACGCGTGCGATATTGAAATGCTGCAGTAAATGCTCAAGATTTTCATATTTGGATGTCGTGTATTCATACCTGCATCTCCATCGGTGCCGATAGAATGCCGATGCGTCAAGTCACATGGACATGCCAGGATATCGACGCACTGGGTGAACATCCTCCCCTAAAACTTCTTCCTTGGATATGCATGCGTGCAGATGTCCTGAATCGAATTC